GGAACAATACTTCGGTTTTGTTGTTTCTTGCGGGAAACAAGACTTCGGCTTTATTGTTCCTTGCATGCAATAAACTCATCTGTTTTACTTCATCTCAGGATCAAGAACCTTATTTCTTCTGTTACAACAGTGCTAAGGGATTGTTTTGATACCACAGACGGGAGCATGTTTAAGGAGGCCTGGTGTGATCTTAATGAGCTTACTGACACAGTATCATATATTCTCTTTTGGGAGAGTGTGTACATTCCTTGAAAACCATTCACTGTGCACAATAATAATTATCCCTGGTTCAACAGGGAAATTAAACCCCTGTGGGAAAAAAAGAACAGAGCTTTCAAGGAGGGAGATGATTCTGGTTTCTAATCTGGCAAATACAAATTCCAAAATGTAGTAAAGAGGGCCAAACCTGAATATAAGAACAAACTTGAAAATAAACTCATCAAAGAAAACTGAGGCATCTGGCCAGGCCTTCAACTAATCAGACTACAAGGTGAAACAAACTGCTTTAGGTAATGATATCTTTCTCCCCAACAAGTTGGATAAATTCTACTGCAGTTCAATGTACAAAAGAACCTGCAGCAGACTGCCCTACACAGCCAGTGCAGCCCCTCCAGCCACCCTTTATCATTCAGGAGCACGGTTCCACATACATAACAGCTACAACCAAAATCTCCAGCTGCATCTGAAATCTTGTGCCACTCATCTTTCTCCTAACTTTACAGCTATTTTCAATCTATCCCTTAAGCAGGCTACAATACCACACTGCTTTAAGATAGCTACAGTACTATAGTACCAGTACCTAAGAAATCCACTGTGAACTGCCTCAATGACTACAGATCAATAGCTTTGATTTCTGTTATTTTGAAAGTTTTTAAGTGTCTTATAGCCAATTTCCTGTCTAGAATGCACCTGGACCCAATCCAGTTTACTTGCTTGCCAAGCCAGCTCACCAAAGGCTGTTCTTCCTGAGACAGTTATAGACATTTGAAGTGTTGCAGGAAGCAATGCCCCTTTTCAATAGATCTGTCGTTGAGAGTGTTTTGTCCTTCTCCATAACTGGTTTGGCAATACTTCTGCCCAGGACAAGTAAACCACCAGAGACAGTAGTGTGTATCACTTCCAAATAAGTAGGACACCCCCTTCCCTCTGTGGACTCTCTGGACTGAAACGCAAAGCTCTAAAAATCCTCATTAAACTTTCCCATCCAGCCCAACCTCTGTCTACTTCTCTCCCCTCTGGTAGAAGGCTTAGGTCTATTAAGACAAGACAAGGACTATGAGGTACTGTAACAGCACTTACCTGGAGGTTCTGAGATGGCACATAGACTCTGCAATTTAACTTTTGATGTTTTACACAGCACATTATTAATCCATCAGGCACCACTCTTATTTATCTCACTGTAATTTACTTCATTAACTGGTGTGTGTTTAGAATAGTAATCATACGTCAATGTTAAATAGGTAAATATCTTCTGTTTTTAAAAAATCATATTTGTTGGTTAAATTAAGTTTAAGTTAAAGCATGTTGTGTTGCTACAGTGAAAAGCACTGGTCCTCAGGTTTGAACTGTAAATCTGCAAATGTATGAGTGCTTAAGAGCATGATGGTCAAGTAAAGTATAACTCGTACTACAGCATGACCTATCTCACTGAAAATCTCACGATCTCAAATCCCATTTTTTTATGTTTCATCTGTTGTTTCCCTCCTCCACTTTTCCACAAGTGTCCTCATCATCAAAGTGGGAAAGAAGGGGAAGGAGGGAGATTATTGCATAACACCTCTAGTTTTAAATGTGTATTGTTTTATTAACACCACTTTCTTATTTTAGATTTTAATTCTAAAATATATTATACAGTGGTGTGATTAGTATTTAAAAGCAAATATGCACTTAACCTCATTGTAATTTCTGTTAAAGGGCATCTTTAAATCCCTTA